AAAGGTTGCGCCTTTCTGGCGTGCAAAGTCCACACTTTTCCTTAAGGGGCGGTGGCCGGTGGCCGGTGGGCGGAGGACACAGGCCAAGGAAAACATGCTCGCGGGGGGGACTCACGGGGCGGGGGCGACAGGGCCAGGGCCCCTTTGTTCCCCCTTGAACCCCCCCCCCCCCCCCCACCCTCCAAGCCGCGCCTGCGACGCCTTGAGCGTCTCCACCTCAACCTCGGCCGCGCGGAGCTTGGCGTCGACCGTGTCGAGGGACGGGAGGGAGGGGTCGTTCGCGCCGGAGGAGGAGGGGGCGATGCCCGCCTCGACGAGCTGCTCCTCTACGGAGCGCAGGATCCTCTGCAGGTCGTCGCACTCGCGCACCTGCGCGCGCGTCAGCCGCAGGGCGTGGACGTGAAGCGCGTGGGAAAGCGGCACGGCGGCGTGGCGGGGCTGGCGCTCGCCTCGTCGACGAAGCTGCGCTTGAAGAAGGACTGGCCCGCGTTGAGCTGTGCGGGGAGGGGGGAGGGACATGCTCGCGATCAGGCGACGCAGATGCAGTGGCCTCTTTGTGAGCTGTGTACGGGAGCGCGCGCGAGAGCCGCACGCACGTCGCGGAGCTGCATCATGCCGAGCTCGCCGAGCTTGGAGACGACGGCGTGCGCTGCGCCGTTCTGCACCACCAGCTGGACCAGCGACATCTTCTTAGAGCGCCATAGGTCACCCATGACAGCAGCACAAAGCTGTGGCACAGCTGGAGAGAGGCGATTCGGGCACTGCGAATTCTTCTTTACGGCGCCAGACTCGCCGGCGCGCGACACGTTTCCGTTGGCGGGACTGTCCTGGTCGAGAGTGTGTGCCGCTGAGGCGGGACCACTCGGGGACAGTGCTGACGGGACGCGGCTCGAAGGGCGTGGCTCCGCAGCGCGGCTGGCACTCGTCGCAGAGGCCTCACCTTCGAAAAGTCGGGCATGGCTCTACCCGCAACTTTCTCGCTAACACGCGCACACCGCCGAGCCTGCGGCGGGCGCGCTGCGGCCGCACGTCTACTTCGTCATAGTGCCACGACGTGCGGCCTAGATTTAGCCCACGCGCCTCAACTTGCATACGCTCATACATTGGACTGTCATCGCCTGTGAGTGCGAGAAGGGCTAGCCGTAGGCGGCTAGCCCATGAGGAGCGCGTCCATAGACACCTCACTTAGACCCCACACACGGTCTCGTCCGTGCCTCGCAGGCCGGTGAGATTGCTAGAGGTGGAGCAAACTGCTCTAGCCTCACACATCACTTCCTTGTCTGCACGTCTCGCGCGCGCGTGAACAGGGCTCCAGGCCCCAAATGACGTGTGAGTGTTAGAGTTGTTTGGTATTGAAAATCTCTCTCAACTAACTAACCCGAGACGCGCCTGGTATGCTATTCGCAGTTGCACTGCAGGGTTCGCTGCCGGCGGACGCGATGTGGTGACTAGTGCGTCGTCTTGAGGAACTCCCTCAAAGATCGACGCCGCCCGCCCGCCCGACCGAGATCGCACCCGAGATCACCCGAGATCACCGGAGATCACCCGAGGCCTCGTTGTCGCGGCGACGGCGATCTCGACAGGGCCCTGGCGTGGTTGGGCGTTGTGCCGGGAGGGGGCACGTCGCGATGGCGGGGGTAAGCGGGGCAGAAGCATGTCACTGCCACGCCAGTGAGCCGCGGGTAGTGGTAGGATGAAGCTCTTCGCCCGCGCGACGCAACGACGCGCCCCCTCCCTCCTTCTCCCCCTCCTCCCCCTCCGCCACCGCCTTCATCGCGAGCGCCTCCGCCATGAGCACGTTTGCCTTTGCGAGCGCCCTCTGCCGTTCGCGAGGGGGGCACGGAGCGGGGCTGAGCGCGCGCTCTCGCCCGCTTCACGCACGCCCCCAAGCCCCCCCCTTCCGGTTACATCAACAGCCACTAACTAGCGCGCGGACCTCTGCGGCTTCCATCGTCGGCAGGGCGCCTCCATAAGCTTGATACGCAAAACAATCGATGTCTCTCCCCAGCGCCTCGGCGTGCTCCTGCACACAAGGCCGCGCGTGATATCGGGAGAGGCCAGCGCGCTGCCGCCGCCGCCGCGGCTCCGCGTGCTGCGCGCGCGCACCTCCATCGCCTTTGCGCCCTCCTCGTCCACCTTCCAACCGCGCAGCAGGCACAGCTGCGCGCGGACGAGCGCGTCGATCGTGGCCATATCCTCCCTCATCTTTTCCGTCTGAGCAGGTTCCCCGCAGCGAATCTCCTCCAAAGTGGCGAACTGCTCCAGCGACTTTTTCCGCTCCTTCCTCTGCTTCTCGGCGAGGTGCCTACTCGAGCCGAGCACCGCAGGTCAAGGGGAGAGCCGCGGGCCACCCAGGGCCGCTGCGCTGGCCGCTGCCGGATCTGCGTGACGAGGTGGTAAAACTCGGCGTCCGAGAACACCTTCAGCTCCCTGAGCGCGAACCGCATGAACTCGACCTTGGTGAAGGTCTCGCGATCGCCGTCAGTGATCTCCGCGAAGTGCGCCTGTGCACCGGGGCGTCCGCGGGGAGGTGGTCGGGCATCGCGACGAGGGCCATGGCCGGGCCTCTGCTGGGCCGCACCGCCATCCTGGCGCCACCATCTAGCGGCGGCAGGTACAGCAGGCTGAATGCGGAGATGCCCATCGCATCGTTGCCCTGCGACAGCGGGGCATCGGGCATTGGGGGTGGAAGGGACACGGGACTCGCTCCCGCGACCCTCGAGGTCCTCCCCTCGTCACCTCGGGGTCCATAATGTCCACCAGCAGCAGCAACATATTGTCGCGCTTGCCGACGTCGAGATGCTGCTTGCCCTGCGGAAGCGGCGGCACCTTCTTGGGCTTCTGGCCATTCCTCGCCATCCTGATCGCCGCCCCAAAGCCGGCCCGCTCCACACCGCCCGCCTTGCACATGTCGCTCTTCAGTAGCTCCTCGAACTCTGCCTCGCTGAGCAGCTTCAGCAGCGCCCGCTCCATGGCGGCGGGGTCAACCACGACCTCGTGATGAGGGGTGTGCCCCTCCACCACCTCCTTGAGCTCGCGGGGCGGCTTCATCGCCGCCGTCAGGGCCACCTCCGCTGCCCTACTAAGCCCACGACGAGCCTTTGCTTGCTTCAAGGCCGCCCTCACCTGCTTGCGCGTGTGCTTGCACTGAATCGACTCCAGAAACTGCTGGAACTCATCGAGCGAGAGGGAGCCAGACTGGTTCAAATCAAGCGTCTCGAACAGCGCCTCCAACTGCGGGGCGTAGAGGTGGGGGGCTGTGCGGCGGGGGTGCTGCGTGCTGCCTCGCGGCGCGTCCACGCCTGCTCTCGGTGTGGAGAGTCGGACACGTCCTCCAGCTGCTTCTCACGCTTGGCTGCCTTGTTGGCGGCCTTGGCGGCCTTTGCTTCTGCGGCATCTGCTGCGGCCGCGGCGGGCTTGACGTAGCCGTCGCTCCTGGGCTTCTGCAGCTTAGGCGCCTCGGCCTTAGGCGTTGCGTTGGCCGACGAAGGCTTCTTGGCCAACGATGGCCTCTTGCCGGGTGGATAGATTGATGGATGAATAAATGAATGGATGAGTGAAGGAGCCGCAGACATGGGCAAAGGGCGGTGGACGTGCGACTAGGGTCGGTCGCAAGCCCGCGATCGTGGAATTCATTCCCGGGAATGACCGCGCAAGCGTAAGCTGTGTGTACTTGTTACGTGAAAACCCGCTGGGACCTGGACGCCAGCACACTCGGCTAGATAGCTGTGTGTGTTGGGCCCGCTCCTTACTCTGGCCACTATCCACCCACCGGCCGTGGGGGTCACTCGCACGTGACTCAGAGGCCGCACATGAGACCCACAATATCCTTATCACAGATCGTTATTTTCCCTCTAGCCCGATGCCGATCAGGGATCAGCGATCATCCGGCCCGCTGTGCGCTCCTTAGCTCCCACCCGGCCCTGGGTTGCCAACTGCACTCCAAGTGCTCCAAGATGCATTACCAAGGAGAAAGGGGAGTGGACAGTTTGGGACGGCGACAGAACGAGTAAGGTAAGGTAAGGTAGACTTCTCCACACACACGAGGTGGTGGGGCACGGGGGGGCGACCCTCGCGTCTCCACGTCTAACGACAGGAGCCCCACGGCATTTAAAGTGCAAGGCGTCCCGGTGCGCGTGGGTGAGCGGTGTGTGTGTGTGTGTGTGTGTGTGTGTGTGTGTGTGTGTGTGTGTGTGTGTGTGTGTGTGTGTGTGTGTGTGTGTGTGTGTGTGTGTGTGTGTGTGTGTGTGTGTGTGTGTGTGTGTGTGTGTGTGTGTGTGTGTGTGTGTGTCACGTCACTGCATCCTCTGCCGGTTCCTCCCGTCGCCTCTTCTTTGTTCGAATGTTTTTCAATCCATCCAGAACACGAGTATGTTGTTGTTCAGTCCTGGCTCAACAACGTTTTTTATTGTTTGAGCTATGACTACCGCGCAGAGGTACCGCCATCGCAGATATTTTTCTTTTTATTGCACGCGAGCTATCGTCACCCTCTCGAGCGCCCGAACGTAGTCCGCCAGCACGGGGCCAACCATCCTGCGGCGAGGAGACGGGTGAGAGTGTGTGGCGGCAGCCGTGACTGTGCGCTGTGCTGGCTGCTGACGGCCGCGCGCCGGTTCGTGACCGCAGTCGGCATGTAGCCGGCGAGGTCGGTCTGGCTGACGAGGGTGAGGTCGGTGCCGCCGCCGGCGGCAGGCGCGAGGACATACGCCCACTCCTCGACGACGCCGCGGACGGCCGTGGGCGCGAGCGAGGCGGCGGCGGTCGGGCAGGACCGAGCCGCTTGAAGCACCGTGCCGTCGGGCAGCCGCTTCCACGCGGTGACGTCGACAAAGTCGCGGTGCCGAAACGGGAAGCCCGTCTTGGCCACCGTGTGGCAGAGCGCGGCGCCGGCGTCTCTCCCGTCCTCCAACACCGCGAGCGTGCGGAGGCAGAGGGTGGTGGGGTCGAGCTTCCCGATCAGCTCCGGCTCGAGGAGCGTGGAGAGGAGCGCGTCCGGGCCGCACTCGAGGTGCGCCGTGAGCCGGAATCGGCGGTTCCGGGCACCGGACTCGCCGTCGTACTCAAAGCCGACGCCGTCGCGCGCGCCCTGAACCACCCAGCCGGCGGTCGCGACGCCCAGCAGGGGGCGTGCCGCGAGCGCGTCCGAAAATATCTCGTCGAGCGCCGCCCGCCACGGAACCGGTCGTGGCGCGTCGCCGCGGTAGTGGGCATCGCAAAAGGTGACCTCATCCGGGACGCTGGCGGCCGGGACGTGCTCGCGGCACTGCGCCGCGAGAAGGTCGTAGCCGTCGCGCACGTAGTCCATGCCGCGGCGCAGCTTGGCCGGGCAGCTTGGCGGCCGGGGCGTTGCCCCAGGTGTATTCTTTTTTTGCTGAATTTGCCAGCATGATGAAATTCTGGAAAAACCTGACCGGCCCCTGCCCCTACCTACCTACCTACCTACCTACCTACCCTACTTATGGGAAACTAAAAAAGAAATCACTGGGGGTGAAGGTGATTGATTGATTGATGGGAAGGCGAAACACAGTCTTCCGACCAACGACTGGGACACCAACGGCAACGCGGTATGGGTGGACGCTAGACGAGCGATGACGGTCACACAGGAGCGACACACAGAACCACAAGACAAGACACTCAGCCAAACTGACTGCCACACATCCTGAAGAGAGAGAAGGCCCCCCCGACCGCGTCGAACTCATCGGCGCGGGCTCTCTCGGCTACGGGACCGGCCCCAGCTTCGGCTGAGGGCTAACAAGCTGCCGAGCCCAAATCACTGTGAGAGTCGTGATTTCTTGTTGGTCTTTAAAAATCTCTCTCTCTCTCTCACATCCTGAGCGAACTTCCCTAGTCACCCGCGGCCGGACTCCATCCGGCACGCGTCGCTGGGCGCTCAGAGCCGCGTCCCCTGCTCGCCACCCCGACGCCCAAGGCGCCCGAATCGAACGACAGGCGGCACGCGAAGACTGGTTGCAATCCCGCCGACCGCGAGGCCGCGGGATGATGCGTGCGTGGTCTTGGAGCGGGTCTCGGAAGCTCCCCTCTCGGGCTAGGAGCCAGCCCCTCTCCCTTGCCCTCGGAACACTGTGTCCGAGTCGAGGCGTGTGCTTGCCGGTCGACGGCCGCGCGCGGTTGGCATTGTGACGAAGGTTGCGCGCGGCCGCGGCGCGCCCGCCATGGCTTGGCGCGGCGCGCCTACCAGCGGCAATTGTCGAGGCACGGGAACGCTTACCCGGGGTCATCCTCTGAGCCTGGTGGGGTACTCTCCTGCAACCAGGTGTATTCTTTTTTTGCTTGGGCGGACCTGATGCTGAAATTCTGCAAAAACCTGGCCGGCCCCTGCGGTGCCCCTACCTACCTACCTACCTTACTTATGGGAAACTAAAAAAGAAATCACTCGATGGGTGAAGCTGGGGTACTATACCAACTAGAGTGATGGTTGGTGGTACTCTCCTGTGCAACCACAGTCCTTCTTGTGACATGGCAGGCCACTCTCAAGCCCTACAAGCATCAGATCACCCATTTGGGGAGGGTTGACATCGTGATTTCCGCGGAAAATTTCTTTTTTGAAAATTCCAGCTTGAAGAGAGGGGAAATCCCGACGGGAGGGCCCAGACCTACCCTACCTACCCCGGCATCAGGTCCGCCCAAGCAAAAAAAGAATACACCTGCTGCAACCACAGTCCTTCCTGTGGCATGGCAGGCCACTCTCAAGGCCATACAAGCACCAGATCACCCACTTGGGGAGGGTTGACCTGCAGGGGTTGACATCGTGATTTCGCCGGAAAAAATAGCTGTGAAAGGGGAAAACCCGACGGGAGGGCCCAGACCTACCCTACCTACCCCGTCATGCTGGCCGCCCCAAGCAAAAAAAGAATTCACCTGCGAGCGCTCAAGCGCGAGCGCTCAAGGAGGAGTAGCGCCGTGGGGAGGTCGAGGAGGCGAACGGGTGGCGGCGCGTCTGGCGAGGGAGGACCTGTTGCATCAGGGGGGGGGGGGGGGGGCTAAAGTGAGGAGGGGGCTAAAGTGGCCGCACTGGATATTTCTTTTTTGAAGGTGTGGATAGGGTGACCTCCGGCGCGTGGTTGGTCGGCTGTGACCGACTGGGGCGCTGGCGGCGGTTCGCGCCGGTAGAGCCTGCCCGCGATGCCACGCTCGTTCGCGGCCTGGAACGAGAAGCGGCGCCCGATCGCTCGCTGTGCGACATCTCCTCACGCCCAGCCACCCGAAGGGTTCTCGCACACACAGCCCACAAGCCCGCGGATTCAGGGCCTCAACATCGACGAGCTGGTGTCGCAGCTGACAGAGGATGAGCTGGAGCTCGCGCCCTCGGCGGCCTCGCTCCAGCCAGCGCTGCTGCCGGGCGCAGAGGCAGAGTGGAGTCTGCCGCCCGACACGGCGCTCATTCATCCCGTCGCCGCTGGGCAGCCGGAGGCGATGGTGACGGACGCGCTGCCGCTCGCGGCGGGCCAAATGGGGCCCGGCACCTGCGCCATCGCGATGCACCCGGCGGCGCATGTCCCTGCGCACCTCCACGCGCCTGTCGGAGGGCCGAGCCGAGTGGAGGGCAGCGCGGCGCACCTCGCCCGGGCGACCTTCGCGGCGGCGGGGCCGAGCAGCGACGAGGGCACCACCGAGCCTCCCCTCGTGTGGTCAGCCTGCCGCTGCCCTATCTCAGCCGACTGTAACGGCGTCGCTACTCTGCCGAGAGAGATGAGACGAGATGGGACGAGATGGGCCCTAACCCTAACCCTAACCCAACTGCAGGCGTGCCTATCGTGCCAGGCCCGGCGGGGATCGCGTCGGTGTCTGGGTACGCAGTTGCAGTCCGGCTGCACTCGCCGCTGCTCTACTGGGCCGAGCGATCGCGCTGGATGTGGCACAAGAAGTGGTGCCGCCGCGAGATCACCGCCTCGCCATGACTCACCGACGAGTCCTAAAACAGCTCCATTCGTCCCTCAACAGGTGCCTGCCGCGCATCACCGTCCTCGTCACCGAGCCTCCGCCTCCCGCCGGCCACCCCGCCCTCTCGGCGTGCGGCGTCTCGCTCGTCGCTCTCATCTCGTGCGGGACCCTCCGGCCGGGCGAGAGGTAGCCGAGAGATGGCCGAGAGATGGCCGAGAGATGGCCGAGAGATGGCCGAGAGGTGGCCGAGAGATAGCCGAGAGATAGCCGAGAGGTAGCCGAGAGGTAGCCGAGATATAGCCGAGATATAGCCGAGATATAGCCGAGATATAGCCGAGATATAGCCCCCTCGTGCGGTACCCACCGAGAGGTAGCCGAGATATAGCCGAGATGTAGCCCCCTCGGCGACGTAGTGGCTTGCACAGCCAGCAGGAAGGAGACTCACGTAGGCGCGGCGGAGCTTGGAGACCAGGGGCTGTCTCTTCTAGGAACCTTCTAGGAACCTTCTAGGAACCTTCTAGGCGCGGCGGAGCTCGGGGACCAGGGGCTGCACGGCGAGTGCTCGCAGCGGCTCCACATGTCCGGCGTTGAGCTCGAGGCGCGAGATCGCTTGAGATTGGCCGAGAGGACGCCGAGGCCGGAGGTCGACTTCGAGGGGCTTTCTCTCCGCACCTCCCCGCACCTCCCCGCACCTCTCCGCACCTCCCCACACCTCCCCGCACCTCCCCACACCTCCCCGCACCTCCCCACACCTCCCCACACCTCCCCACACCTCCCCACATCTCCCCACACCTCCCCACATCTCCCCGCATCTCCCCACATCTCCCCGCTGCTCGACAGGCGACCTTCTCCTCGCTGCAGCTGCTGCACACCTCCTTCAACTGCGGCAACCGCCCCTTCCACCTCGTCATCACCGTGGCTGCCCAGGGCCCGCAGGGCCTGCAGGCAGAGCAGACAAAAGACCCTCCA